CTAATCTGCATATGAATGCAAGCATAGTGGCTTACTAATCTGCATATGAACGCAATCATAGTGACTTACTAATCTGCATATGAACGCAATCATAGTGACTTACTAATCTGCATATGAACGCAAGCATAGTGGCTTACTGATCTGTATATGAACACAAGCATAGTGACTTACTAATCTGCATATGAATGCAAGCATACTGATCTGCATATGAACACAAGCATAGTGACTTACTAATCGGCATATGAACGCAATCATAGTGACTTACTAATCTGCATATGAATGCAAGCATAGTGGCTTACTAATCTGCATATGAACGCAACCATAGTGACTTACTAATCTGCATATGAACGCAATCATAGTGACTTACTAATCTGCATATGAATGCAAGCATAGTGGCTTACTGATCAGCATATGAACACAAGCATAGTGATTTACTAATCTGCATATGAACGCAATCATTGTGCTTTATTAATCTGCATATGAACGCAATCATAGTGACTTACTAATCTGCATATGAATGCAAGCATAGTGACTTACTGATCAGCATATGAACACAAGCATAGTGACTTACTGATCAGCATATGAACGCAATCATAGTGGCTTACTAATCTGCATATGAACACAAGCATAGTGGCTTACTAATCTGCATATGAACACAAGCATAGTGACTTACTAATCTGCATATGAACACAAGCATAGTGACTTACTAATCTGCATATGAACACAAGCATAGTGGCTTACTGATCAGCATATGAACACAAGCATAGTGACTTACTAATCTGCATATGAACACAAGCATAGTGGCTTACTAATCTGCATATGAACGCAATCATAGTGACTTACTAATCTGCATATGAACGCAATCATAGTGACTTACTAATCTGCATATGAACACAAGCATAGTGGCTTACTACCAGCAATAGCAGTCTATCTAAATAATCATTATTTATAAACAAACCTTTAACAATTTTACAATACCATACTGACAACAGATTTTGAAATTGAAGTTCATCTACAGCATAAACATTGTAGAGACACAACACTTGAGCCACATGCTTTACCTTTGTAACATACGTTCTTCTTGTGTTGACCTTGGATGACCACCATAGCCTGGTCTACTGTTATTGAGAGCTTCCCACACTGTTACCTACAAGAACAAACATAGTATCGCATTAGGTGTGAAAAGCACAAAGAATTGTATATGCAAGACTTACACGAATCAACTAGACTAAGATACTATGTTAACTGTAAGTGTATTCAATATACCTGTTCACTTTTGGTAAAAGAGGTTAACCATTACAGAGAAGATGGTAGAAAAAAGGTGCAAATTGTTTTTCTCTTCATTTTTTTAGGGGCGTTTCCTCTATTACATTTGTAATTGTTATACTTTATATAAATACTTTTTGTTCATATCACTTCCCCTGTTTGTTTAAAACCATTGAAAACTAGGTTTTTGTTTTTCTAATCTACCACTTACCCTACCCCCAATTACTCATGGTCAATGCAGAGTACCGGTAACAAGGTCTGTTTATAAAACACAATACACATGTTCATCTCATACACAATGACTTACCTGATCGTTTTCAGTGCCAGCATCTAGAAGGCTTTGTTGTATTGCAAATTGTAGCAAGTCGTCGTCTTCATCTCTCATTATGGGTTCTCGGTATGTGTCGCCAAGGCAACTGTATGTGGCTGGTGGCTCAAAACAAGATGCATCAACAACACAAGTAATTGGTTTGAATGCAGCCTCTTCACCAGCTTCACTGGTACCATTTTCTTGGAGACTTAAAACACCTGGTATATTTTCTTGAGTTGCATTCAAATTACCAAAGGTAATACGAGCATTAAGAATATGGAACAGTGGAATTTCTGAAAAAAAATAAAAGATAATGCTTTCAGCACTTTACAGAGCTAATATATGATGAACAAGTCATCAAGTCAATGACAAAGCCCTGCATAAACTTTCAATCTTTTTTGACATGTGCATGTAAAATATGTTGTTGTTTTTTTTGGTCAAAAATTGTCATTTTCAGTCAAAAAGTGTTGAAAATATGTGCCACGTTATAACTCTGAGATTCTTCGACTGATTTTCAAAAAATTCTACAGACGTATATCACTAAAGCAATGTTTTAATTATGTTTTAATGATCTGTACACATGTTAGGTATGGTTCTGGAGCCAAATATGACAGATTTTGACCAAAAAAGACAGTTCTTATATTTTGAGTCTACTAATATATGTATTGTATTATGTAATATATATGTAAAGCTTGAATGAAATTGGTCAATGCATTGCTAAGAACAGGCGAAATAGACTCTAGTGAAATAGACTACATGTACTAAGAAAAATAGTGGTAATTATTCAATCTTTTCAATGCTAACGCTTTATTTCAACTTGGATCATTCCAATCTCAAAATCATGTGAAAAGTGAAATTACATCTGAAACACGTGTAGTATAGCACCCATATTCAATGCATGTCATTGCAAAAACCACCACTCTTCAAAACATTTGAAAGTGAAAAATGACAATAGTTATAAAGGCACAAACCTATTTTAACTGGAAATCCTGCCGGTAACTGCAGCGTAATAAAATCCCTTAGTTTAGCGAAATGTACATTACTAATTGCCATCAAATCAATTATGGGTAATACTTGTTCCTGTAGCGACAGTGGATGGTCCTCACACAGCCATAATGTGGCTTTAAATTTTTGTACTTTAGTGCTGGTTTCTTTTGGTCTACCAATATCACGTTCTCCAAGCTCAAAATTGGGGTCAAAATACTCTTCAGGGGTAATGGCAGTAGGATTGGTGGGGTCACTACTTTTGGAAACATTAGCCTGGAAAATAGAAAATACAAACAAACAATTAATTGATAATCTCCTTGCTATATAAAGAATGATAATAATAATACTCCTGCATCCCTGATTGGTCCACTGCTGACTGTGGCTGACATTTGACCTTTGAAGTCTGCATGTGTTACGGTAGGTCGACAGCCAACAAGTACTTGGCTCATCCATTTATTTGAACATTGAGGTTTCTCTTAAAGTTATCTTATTGGATATAATTTGTTTGTAGCCTCCGGCATATGAAGTAGTATGTGCCATATACTAAATGCCAAATATTCTGGTCAGAAGTGTTGCAAATAGCAAAAAACATTACTGAAAATTTCCATAGATCTAGATTAAAGATAATCTCCAGCCATCACTGAATATACCATTTTCCGTTCACCTCGAGATCTTGTGAATGGCGCAACCGAGTAATGCGTTGAAATACCCCTACTTCATCGTAATTAACCATCATCAATTGTGTATAGCACATTATTAAGCGTGGAAATAGCCAAAAAATATTTTTGCGTTTGAGGAACCCCACTCAATGTTCGGAATCCACTATGACGCTATGACCTTTGTTTGTCCTGTTTTTTTGTTTGATTTCATGCATAACGCAGGATCTCACAGTCAACGGAAAATGGTCTATTACACACAGAACTTAATTTTCCAACTGATGATTCATCCATGGCTCAATTCACCACACATGTTAAAGACTTCAACTTAGTTTAGCAGATAACACAACTTGGCCCCTTATGCCAATACCAAAGGTTGAATGTGGATCTCTGTAACATCATTATCTGTCACATCCACCAAGTACATATGGTTAATATGAAAGCCTCTCAAGTTTACTAACTAACTAACTACCTTTACAAATTCACATTTCGTGCAAACAAGACTAAAAGAGTATAGAAATACTTACTACTGCAGCAGCTTGATGCTGTTCTGCTAAACCTAAAAATGACTGTAATGGATGGTGGTTTTTAAAAGTATCTACAACAAAGAAAATACACATGTCAGAAAAATATGAATTTACCCTCAGGAAAATCGCAACACTTTCAGCAGCTAACATTCACTGCCATCCTAAATGAATAAGTCGCGGTGAATCTCCTAGGGAGTCACATGGCATTTCACTGGGGTCCTAAGGAGTCATGGTGACTTTTATTGGGGTCTCCAATAGTCACAATGACTATTAATGGCATCCTTAATCAAAGAAAGTTAGAAAGAACTCGTGTGAAGGTATTGGAGGCATGAAAAACAAGTAAGGAATACTTGTATTTATTACTATATTAGAAGCACATCTTCATTACACATAAAGCATTGTGTTTCTTACATACAAAATCATTAATCATCAAAATCATCATCTTATTTTGACCATAGACCTCTTTTTGTCCTTTATTTTCACAGCAGGCATATGTGCTTCTGATAGAGAAAATGGTTGGTTCCAAGTAGCTATGGTTTAACAATTATGAATATTTAATGAAATAATGACCATATATGACTTTTGGTCATGTATCTTGTCAGGCCACAGAATTATAGCACTGGTTACATGTCCCTATCTGCAACAGTATTTAGTACATTACAGTTATACGTATTAAGAAACAAACATAAACTAATAGCAGGTAATTAATGAAGTAATCAGATCAGTGGATTATCTGAAAGCATCTATGTACCTAGTTTTATTAAAATTTGATCAGTGGTACACAAGATATCTGTGGAGCACCTATAAATTGGTTCAATTTATGCAAATTAGGTAATTATTAAGTACAAACTAAACATGTATATGGCTTATTCCTAAGCATCTACATGTGTATGTACCGAGTTTCATTGCATCTGATGAGTGGCTAAGGTATTTGTAAGCTAATTTATATGCAAATCAGGCAATTAATATGCATGGATTTTTAAACAAAATGTTATCAGGTCTGAGTATTATCCTAGAGTGTCTATGTACCATGTTTCATTAAGATTTGTTGAATGGTACTTGAGAAAAAAGTGAAAATGCTTAAAATTGGCTAATTATTATGCAAACTAGGTCAATGATATGCACAGGATTTCAGCCAAAACTAATCAGTACTGTGCAATATCCTAGAACATCTATATACTATGTTTCATTGAAATCTGTTTAATGGTATATGAGAAATAGTGAAAATGTTTAAAATTGGCTAATTAAAATGCAAATTAGGCAACTACTATCCTAGAGTATCTATGTACCAAGTTTCATTGAAATCTGATTATTGGTTCTTGAGATATCAGTGAACACAGGAGTCAAAATCAGTGAGTCAAGATGACTTTTACAGGGATCATATGAAGTTACAGTGAATTTCTCTTAGATCCAAGAAAGTCACAGTGACTTTAATTAGCATCATTAAAAAAAATAGTGAGTCCGAAAATTTTCTTGGGTTTCAGCGAGTCACAATGATTTTCACTGGAATCTTTAAACAGCAAATCACAACAACTTTCAGTTCGGTCTTGGGAAGTCACAGTGACTCACACAGACTTTCACTTGGGTCAGAGAGTCACAGTTATTTTCACTGGGCTCTTAGGGAGTAGTTGACTTTTGCTGGGTTCTAGTGAGTTATACTGACTTTCACTTTGCATACCTTTATTTCGCTCTTTGTCTTCTTCTGTGAGATGTTCCAGTCTTTGTTTTGTGACTAACTCCACATTGGAGGCACTAAATACTTTACAATCATACCCATTGATGGCTTCAACTTTGTCACTTCTCCATCCCCAGATACCACTCTTATTTCTAAAGACAAATTGGCCAATCAGATGATGATAAGTTACAAATCAGGAAAAGGTTTTTATTATCATTTGAACAAGCACACTGTACATTTAAAGCAAAAGGGGTAAACAACAACATGGCCGTCTGTTGCATGTGTAAGTCATGACTCCCTCTCTTAATACAACAATTTATTATTAAAGGATGCTTAATTAAGTCTGAATACAGTGAAAACTACTAAAAATATAAACAAATTGACACTATTTTTGGGCAAAACAAAATTTGGTGCTCAAAGGGTTAAAAGATGTGGCTCATGTTTAACAGTGAAAGCACACACAAAACCACATGGCTGTTTTCAGCAAAACTAAATCTGAACTGAAGTCAAGTGGATTATTGAAGTTAAAGCAACTAACCTGGAAAATGCAATCTTCTCTGTATCTATATATGTGGTGACTACAGGAGACGTAAGTCTGGATACAACAGTCGACTCACGTGGTGTCATTAACGAAAGGTCAAAATCTGGACGCAGTTGAAGTTTTTCCACATATACCTGACATCTATCATGATCTATTTCCATAAATGATGCTAAGTGTTCACCTTCTGTATAAAGATAACGATGTAAATCAACACTTGTAGCAGTAAGACATGATTTTTATCCATAATATCAATTGAATTGTCAGTCTGTGCAAGAATTTTGTGTTAACAAGCAAAATATTTGACATTAGATGATCACATGGAACTTGTATCAGAAATGAGTGACCCAACTAACCTTCGCCTTTAAAGATGTAACTTCGACTTCCACGCTGCCAAGTCATCTGATCAAATCCTAGTAGTGTTGTATCCTACGCGTACACTGGCACCACTTTTGTACACTCTATACACATCACTAGGGCACATTCTTGACACTAGTGGCACTGAATAAAAATATGTCACTTGGTTAATCACTTGATAATCATCCTGACATTACTAAAGACTAAGTCAGGGGAGTCTCTAGTGGTTGACATATTCCACAAGCTGAATAAAGTGAGTAAATCAGATAATAGTAGGGACTAGTACATGTATCACGATTTTTCAGTGCATGCCACATAAACCAGTACATACAGTGTATGTTTCAGTATATCAAACTTATTTTGTAAGTTATTTACAGTTACATTGCAAAAATGTTACTGCCTCATTTTTATGTATTTTTCAATATATCCTAACTGACTTAGTGCCACATGACCTCAAATAGAAAATCCTGCTTTTAAAGAGTGGCGGTGTAGTCAAGCATTCCCTTAAAAAATGTGCAAAAACTGTCACCGTATTCAAGTCCAACATGTGACAGTGGTCATTGCTTACTGTAAAACAATTTTCACTGACATTAAACTTCTTGAATCTGTATTTTGATGCTTTGAGCAATTTCACTGGGTTTTAAGTTTACGAACTTGGCAGCAGAACAACAAGTACTATTGTTATTTTACATGTTCTAGTTGATTTAATTTTACTGAGTGGATTTTACTTCTTTGCGAAAATAGCGAAATTAAAATCCAACGAATAATTAATGTGATTACAAGATTTCTAGTGTTCACATATTCACACAACGACGGGACATTTCACTGTATACATGTACACCAATACAGTATTTCTAATTAGGAAAACAAGTAGACTGCAGATATTTACAGAAAAAATCAAAAAAGTACAGCAGACTACATATAAATAATATAAGTTTGATCATTCTTCCTCCTTAACAAAACAAACTAGTTACCTCATTCAGGGACCCCCAATGGTTACTTTAAGATCTACCTCATTCAGGGACCGCCAATGGTTACTTTATGATCTACCTCATTCAGGGATGGCCAACCACACACAATATACAACATACAATGGAACTTTGATGACATGAGTATGAAACAAGCCATTTTCCACCTAAATTAGTGATTTTTATGGCTTGAAACAATGCTTTTTAGCAATTGTTGAGGACTATAATTCGTGATATAATTTCAATCATGAATGCTGAAATTGTAGACTCCTTTTTCTATACATGCTTAAAACATCTCAATTGAAGAACACTCGCATTCACTGTACTCACCCCAACTTGTAAATTCCCACTTCATCTCAACATAGAAATCAGGAGCCTGTAATAGAAAAATTATTAAAGTCTGTTATTATCTGTGGTCACTTTTAGTCAAGTTTTCAAAAACAAGCCATGCATGGCACAGTCCCCGTTAGTTATCGAATTTAAGATAGTATATAGTTTTGTTTATAGTAATATAGCTGGAATATAACCATGTCAGAATTATGATTATGATGATTGTTTAACATTAAAATGCTTGACATTTGTATCTGATCGTCAAACAAGTACTTGTCCACATTGAGATATACTGCTCTAGACAGCATTAATTAAAACAAAATCAGCCATTTTGAATACATGTATATATCTATAACATGATGTATAATGAATATTTAAAATTAGAACATAATCAGTCAAAGCATATCAGAGATATGGCTCTAGAACCACATTCATTAAAAAAAAATCGCAGCCAGTCAGCCATTTTGAATCCGATATGAAAAATAAAATGACATGCATCAGGAACCCGTAATGTCTAATGTATGCACCAAGTTTTAACATAATCCATCTATAAACAGCCGAGAGATGCTTAATTTTGATGATTTTTCAGTACAAAAATGGCTGCCATTCGGCCATCTTGAATCAGATCGTGAAACAAATTGATGTGCATATGTATGTCATGTATGATGTATGTGTGAAGTTTGATTGTGATTGCTCCAGGCATTTCTAAGATACAGGTCCGGAAGCATGGACATTAGTCCTCGTTTTTAGACTGCGTCCGAACGGGGACTAATAAGCACTGAATATAAACCTACATTTGTTTGACATCATTAATAAGACAATTCCTCATTGCTACATTGAAGAGAAAATTCCTCATTGCTACATTGATGACATAATTGTTCATTGCTACATTGAAGAGAACATTCTTCATTGTCACATTGAAAAGAAAATTCCTCATTGTCACCACTGATGAAAGAATTCTCATTGTCACCACTGATGACAGAATTGCTCATTGTCACATTGAAGAGAAAATTATTCATTGTCACATTGAAGAGAAAATTTCTCATTGTCACCATTGAC